CCGTTCAGCCCCCACCCCCGCCTTGCCGGGCACGGGGGTGCGCACCCCTGTCTCCAGAGCTGAGCTGGTCCAGCGGCTTTGCGGCTTAATTTGATTCACAGTTGTCTGGTTCTTTGGGAGCCCATTGCACTGTTTTGAGAAGGTGGATAAAATTTTAGCTGGGTGCCAGGTGGCACGTAAATTCTGTATGCGGGATACGTGCACAGTACGTTTTCCTGTGGCTGCATGGTTTCTACCCAGGGCAAGAGAGGAAGGAAAGGGCTCCATGCTGTAGATTTTGTATAGTTCCTGTGGTCTTTCTTGGCATCTGCTGTTGGCCTTCCTCAGCAATAGGGCGCTGGACTAAATAAATTTTTGGCTTTGAACTGTAATGGACATCCTTACGTCTGTATCTCTAATATTACATGAGATTCTCTTATATCACATGAGATCTATGGTACAGGGCCCAGGACGAGTGGCCAGTGAGCATGCAATGTGTCCCTGCAGAAACACTCAGTAACTATATTGTCTGAGCTCAGCAGGTGTAACACACATCTTGGGAAGCTCTCAGCATGCTCCTGCACCTTTTCCTTCCTGCAGTCTGTTGTATGTGCAGATCAGAGGAGTAGCCCAGGAAGAGTGGCTAGGAGCAGGCTGATGGCACTCAAACCGTTCCTGCATCCTGCTTTGGGTGCTCTTTTTTTAATATCTTTCTTGCATGAAGGTAAGATGCTTTGAGTGTATGGGTTGGTTGGATCTCAGCTGCCATTTTTTCTGGGGTACAGCTACAAGCAGTTGTTGTGTGAACTACTGGCTTCACAAGCTCAATTCCTAAAGAGAGGAGAGTGACTGTAAAGACAACTGCTGTCCAAAGTCTCATTAAGCATGAAAAATGAGGTCTAACTACCCCTGCTATGCTTCATGTTGGGTATTGAGATGGCTTTTCACCTGTTTTCACCTATAAGCACCTAATTATGGGAATTAAGATGCATAATGGCCAAGGTTTGCCTGAAATACAGAATTCATTCCTGGCCTTTAAGAATGAATGTTCCCACTCTCCAAGAATCTTCCTACCAGAAAAACTTGCCAATTGGCAGTAAAGTTATATTTTGGCCTTACTTTTGTCATTTAATCCTGAAGGGCAGAGACCACTTTCTCTTCTGTATTGCATTGTGATTCAGGTAGCATCTTAGCTTAATAAAGTTAATGTATTTGTAGTACCATGTAAAATTGATATATGCAGTTGTGAAAGGGGGAAAACTGCAATATGTAGTTATGATGTTTATTTCTCAGTCTCTTCTGTATTCCTATGTTTCTATGAACCTTCTTCCCTTATTTGTTTTTCTGTATCTGGTATTGAAAGTCTTCAGAACACATGCAATATTTGCTTATTGGTGAACATAGTTGTAGAAAATAACTTCTCTCTCTTTTGTTCCATAGGTGAGCTTTAGTCCTCAAGACAATGCACAGGTTTGTATCACTGGAAATGGCTTTTTTAAACTTTTTAAGTACACTGAAGGAACTTTGAAGCAGATAAATTTACAAAGGGGAGAGCCACAAAACTACTTGTGCCATGCCTGGCTGTCCAAGGAGGAAGTGATATGTGGCACTGACACAGGCAAACTCATGTTGTTTGAAACTGGAGAGCTGCACTGGGAGACAAGAGTAGAGTACAAAAAACCACCCAGGGAACTAGAAGAAGGTGCAATGACAAAAGAATATGAGAGGTAAATCTGTTAAATACTGTTGCTAATAATTCCATGCTTATGCATGCAGATTAGTTGCAGGCCATTCACTTACTTCCTTCTTGTTCAGTGTATGAATGAGTTTTAATATTTTGATTGTGGCTGATAAACTTTTTTTTTTTCCTCCTTTATTCCTAAGTCTTTATGCATTTCCTGCTTGCGGTTCTTCTGATGTCTCTTGTGGACTAGCCTCTGAAGATAAGGATTCCCAACAGGATTCTTTGCCTCAAATATCTGCAGTTGCAGCTTATTCCAAAGGCTTTGCATGTTCATCTAGCCCAGGAGTTGTTCTTCTGTTTGAGAAGACCAAGGAAAAGGAAGTCTACAAGGAGAGTCAAGAAATCTGGGTAGGGAGAAAAAAAGCTTTTCCAAGCAATTATGCAGCAAAGGCCTGTTTAGAGGGGCAGGAGTGCTTCTGATTCAGTTATTAAAAATAATTTTTAGCACATCTCTAAATTAAATTGTAAGCATTAGCTAACTGTCCTGGTGATGTCGAAAGGAAGGGAGTTGCTAGAGGTCACACTGAAAGTCACTAACAGATGTCCTTTTGCAAGGTAGCTCTGCATGTTCCCACACGGAAAATGTGCTTTGAGGCTGCTAAGCTTCAGGAAACCTTTAAGAAACTTTTATTTAGGGAGACTTTCGGAGCTAAAAAGTAGCTTACCTCAGTTTTGAAGAAGGAGGCTGCTTGGGTTTTTCCCCTCATGATGTCCTGACACTTGTGCACCTTTAAGTAACCCAGTAAGATTTCTAACAGTTCTGTAGTGAGCTGTATGCATTGACTTACTGCAGTCACTGGATAAGAACATTTAACTCCAATGACCTGGTCAAGCCTTCGCACTCTGGATCTACTCTTCCCTATGCATGAGACCCTGTAATAAGACTGTTATCAACCTGAATGATACCCTGCAAAGAACTGTTATTCTGAGATCACAATTTTCAGGCAGTTTTCATTCTGACCCTTGCTAGGCTTTTTTCTTGATTTTTTTTGCTACCATTTTAATTTTTGTTTCATGAAATACTTAAGATCTCTGCTGAAACATTCTCTGATACTTTTATTCATTTGTAATACTGTAAATACAGTTAGGTTCTTTTGTCTTCTATTCCCTGCCTTGCAGTAGTTATGTATGATTAAATGTCCAAGTTGTCTTACTGATATGTGTATACTTATTAGCATAGCATTACAGCAAAAATCTGTGTGTGTGTGCATGCCTACTCCCAAAACATGGAGACCTTGAATATCTCATGGGTTGCATTTCTTGTGCAGCTTCCTCAGGACCTGTTTAGCAGTGAACCAAATCAGTCATGCAGACAGGACATTATATGTATATGCTTCAGCCCTTCTGAGGAAACGATGGTCATTAACACAAACAAAAATCAGCTTTACATGTTTGCTATGCGCTCCGCTGATCTTATGAAGGTGAGTGCAATCTTATCACACTCCACAGCTATCGTGTCCGATAAGCATTGTATTGTAACAGCACAGGCTATTCAGTGTTGCTTTCTATGATGCATTCTCATAAAATCCATCAAATAACATCTGAACCCTAAAAGGTCATGGTAGGAAGTGCTCTGCATGCTTCTCTGAGAGCTGTATTTCCGTATCCCCTTGCTCAAGCATCCCTCCATATGAGTGCATACCAGATGTTATTCAGCATTGTCATGATAGAAGACCCTGTTAAGACTGTTTAAGGGTGCATGTCACTGTTGTACCATGTATGTAAGGCTTTAATGGAGAGATTTTTAACATAACTGTAGTAGTTTGTGCTCCACTATAATATGCAAAAACTTTAATGCAACAATAAATCTGGAACAGCCATGGGAATCTCATGTTACTCTAAAATAATAGTTGTTGAGGTTCTATTTTTAAGTGAAACATCTTTGTGAAGAACAAACTTAATGAAAAACATTCCCTGGTCTGAAGGAATTAAATAATACAAGCACAAGAAATACATGTATTATCATGAAACAGACTTGCATGGAGTTTAATCCCTGACCTGTGTACAGGTGTACAGGAAGGGGCTTTGCAGTTATGGGAGTTTTCTGCATGCAGCCTAAAATTTAATTGGTGCTTCACTTCCAGCATGTACTAGCTAAACATGCCGGTTAAGTTGCTTGTCACTCAGCACTTGATTATTTTTAAATATCTGTCTGACCAGGTCTTAACTGAATTCTTGCAGGTTCAGTTTTATTTATTTCTCTAACCTGCATTTCCTTGGACTCCTGCTCTCACTACTGTATGACAGCTATGAAGCCTACATCTTTCCTGCATCACTGTTCTTCATTACTAATTATAAAGTTAAAACTGATTTGAACATTGTTATGCTCTTAACGTTGTTATGCCCAGACAGGTGCAGGGAAAGGATTAAGTGGTTTCCTTAAATCTATTTGATTACTGTATGCAAAGAGCTATGATAGATTTCTTACCTGACTTACTGCCTGCAGTGAAAGATTTGTGATGTTTTTGTGTTCTCATTGCTTCTCAGGAGAAGGCAGCTTATTTTGCATATCTGAATTTCCCACTGCATTCTGCTTCCATTACTGGTCTGGACATCTGTATTTGGAAACCCATTCTTGCTACTTGTTCCCTGGATAGATCTGTCCGCATCTGGAATTACAATACAAAGTAAAGAGTTGTTTGTGTTTGTTATTACCTCTTGCTTTTTGTATATTGTATTTCGCAGGCAGCAACAGCCCTCTCGTACAAATGGGAGTGTTGTTCTGGTAAAATTCTTGTGCAGTGTGGGATGTAAATGGTCTTACGGACACCATTTGGGGTGTGTGAATATGCAGTGCCTTTAAAACCAGCGCTGAAAGAATCCAAAGCCTTTTTGCTATTAAGCTATTTTGGAGTCAGACTTCTCATGTGTTCTGAAAAAAAAAAATCTTCAGGAATATTTCACTCAGCTTTGACTTAAGATACTGTTGTCCCATCTCCAGCTTCATAGCCATAGTTCTTAAGCAAAGGTTCTGCGGAGCAGAGGGAGGAGCAGGAAACAAATCTCAGAAGAGATGTTTGTGTAGGTTTGCAATCAAAGGATTATTTACCTTCATTAGGGTACAGTAAACAAGGATGTGCTCTTGCACCTTCCACACCTTCTCTGTGAACCACAACGTTCAGATTTGTTTTCATTCCCTGTAGCATCTGTGTAATCATTACTTAGCTGAATGACAACGGATTTCCACAAGGACAAGGCAGAGTCAGACTGTAGCTGCAGGTGTCCCAGCCGGGGCAAATACTGTCCTGTCAGGAATGCACAGGGAGCTTGCACTGTTGCATATTGTGCAATGGTTTTCTCTTTCAGCACTTTGGAGCTGTGTAAGGAGTATCGGGAGGAAGCATACACAGTATCACTGCACCCCAGTGGCCTTTTCTGTTTGGTTGGGTTTTCAGACAAACTACGGTTTATAAGTCTACTATACGAGGACATGCATGTTTTCAAGGAGTTTGCTGTGAGAAAGTGTAGAGAGGTAAGGAGTAATGCAAAAATTAAATTGGGGAGCTATAGGGAACAGAGTGGTGAAGAACATGATGGAAGGTAGAAACCTCTTCAATAGATCATAGAATCACAGAATGGTTTGAGTTGGACGGGACTTTAAAGACCATCTAGTTCCAACCCCCCTGCCATGGGCAGGGACACCTTCCACTAGACCAGGCTGATCAAAGCCTCATCCAGCCTGGCCTTGAACACTTCCAGGGATGGGGCATCCACAACTTCTCCGGGCAACCTATTCCAGTGCCGCACCACCCTAGTAGGATTTTAGGATATCAAAGCATAGAGAAAAGGATTCTGACTTTTGGAAAATGAGCCTGGAGGCTGATGCATAACTCTGGACCTGGGAAGCAGCAGGAGTATTTTGCTTAGAAATACTCAAGGACTGAATTTTACAGGGGAAAGCACCAATTAAGAAAGCAGTAGGAGGCTAATTATGTCATGGATTTTTCTTTTTGTGTAACATTCTGATATTAGATGATGTCAATGCATGAATTTTTTTCTCTGATGCATCTACAGTAATGGGTGGTTATGTTCTTTTTGTAGTGCTCATTCAGTAACGGAGGCCATCTTTTTGCTGCAGTTAATGGAAATGTGATTCAAATTTTTTCCAGCGTCACCTTTGAGAATATTAATAATCTGAAAGGGCATAGTGGGAAGGTTAGTGAACAAATCCTATACAGTACAACTCATTAAAGTATGAACTAGTTGGTAAGATGCATTTTGAAATGGTAAAGTACAATTTTGGATCAGAAATGGGGCCAAAAATTAAAACTACAAGAAATACAAAAGACAGTTTTCTTTGGTCAGAAACCCATGTATGCATTCACTAGATACATTTAAAGTGTCTTTAAATTGAAGGTGAATGATTGGCAGGTAGCTGAACCAGGAAAAACTATCCCAGTAATAAATTATACAAATAAAATATACTGCTTATTATTGAAATGAACTTTTTCCTGACAGTGTGTTCATAAAGTAGTTCTTACTGATTTATTTTTTTCTTAATGCTAAAATGGAATGAGTTGAGAAACAGCTAGGGGTTTTTAGGTAAGACTTAGAAGTATGACTTCAAAGTTGTCATGGATTTACCTGTAGAAATTACTCCATGTTGCATGTCTGCAACTTACACAACATGCTCTTGGTGTGTTTTGCTTTTGCCAGATACATGCAGTTAAATGGAGCGCAGATGATGCTAAATTTGTCTCCTGCGACACACATGGTGCTGTGTATGAGTGGAACTTGTTGACAGGTGAAAAGGAGTCAGAGTGTGTGCTCAAGTCCTGCATCTACAGCAGCATTGCCCTGTCTTCTGATGCCAAAATCATCTTTGCTGTTGGATCTGACCAAACTCTCAAAGAAATTTCGAAGTCTTTGGTGAGCTAACAAGCACATTGGGATTTTGCTAAGTTCTCTGGGGAGGGTTACTAGTGCTTTGGTTTCCTTATCTTCCATTTGGTAAGTAGGAATCAGTCTGGTTTGGATAGCTGCGATATTTACTGAATGAAACCTGAGACTCTGTTGGTAGTTTTGTATTTTTATAAATTTTCTTGGATTTACCTAGAAATCTTCTAATACAGCTAACACACTGACTTGGCAATATTGTTATCAACTGGTTTGCTGAATACCAGTGTATTGCATTTACCACTGTAGGTGATATGCATTTTTTTTGGTCCAGAAAAGTAGTAAATTGTATGGGATAACCATTACATCTTTCAGAAGTGATCAGCTTGTGGAACTTGGCTTGAAATTTTGAGATTGCACATCTATAAAGCTTAATAGTGATTATTGTTTATGGCTTTACACTTTGAGGCGTGTAGATTCTTTTAACTGCATCATTTGCTACAGGCAGAGGTCTGACAATTGCTCGTGCAATAAGTAATCAAATAGTATTGGGGAACTTGGTGTAATGTGAGGGGTTTGTGTGTGTTTTTTTTTTAGATCCAGCAGGAAGTGCCTGCTTTTGGTGTTGTTTATACTGCAGTAGCTGTTTCTCATTCTGGGCACATGGTATTTGTTGGCACATCTCTGGGGACAATTCGAGCCATGAAATACCCATTACCTTTAACGAAGGATTTCAACGAGTATCAAGCCCATGCAGGTGCTGTTACCAAGGTAACATAGAGTACTTCCTTTTTCCTGCAATACCAGCTGCACATGTATCTTTTAGTGCAGATTCTCCTTCCTGTTTCATAGCATAATGTGGTAAGACTAAGGTTGAGCCTGCGTGTGGAGAATTAATATTATAGCATTCACAGAAGTCCTGTCTCTAGAAACGGATGTCACTGGATAAGCTCTTGTTGGCTAAAAAGTGGCTTGCACCAGGATACAGAACATGGCATATCCCTGATGGAGAGCTTTGATAGAGCTCTTTCTGGAAAAAGTTATGCAGGCTTGAAAACCTCTTGTGAGAATGGAAGGAGGAATGAGATAGGTGTATCAACCAGATTGCTGCCGGGGTAAAGAGGAGGAGAGATTGCAGTGCTGGTCTGCTAAGCGGAGTGTATTTCTAAAAGGCCACTGAACATCTGAAAGTTGGGGACATGGTGAGCAGAGCCTGCAACCATGGAACATTTCAGGACACTTTCTCCAGGAAGCCATGTGTTCTGTCTTGTTAAAACTGTTCACAATTTTGGCATTGTAAGAGTTGCTGTCAAATACATCACCTTGACCTAGAGCTTCACAGTCCAACATTAGGCTGTGAACTTCAGTTACTGGAACTCTACTTTCACCTCGCTCGTGAACCGCGTCAGCTCCCAGGTACTCTGTGCCAGGCCACACAGTCACAGGAGGTCTGGAGGAGGTGACAGCAGTTATTACTAGATAGTTCTTGGTGGGCTGATTTGCAGAATCAAAAGAAAATGTTTAGCCACCTGTTTCTCAAACAACTTCTCAAGGAAAAGAGCTAGAGTTGTCATATAAATTTCCTGTCTGTGCTATAACTGTCTAGAAGGTCTTTTCTGTTCCAGGTTTTTAAAAGTCTTCCTACAGCTTTGAGAGCAGAAGCAGATCCAGCATCTTCACACGTTCTTCTTTTCTTTCCTTTCCCCTGTTGTCTGGACCAGGGTGGAACAGTGGAGGACATAATCAAAACGTTGGTAGTCGGGCTATATTAATATTTCCACTGTTGATTTCCTGTGGTAGAAATGACAAGGAGTGTGTGGGTGGGGAGAAAAATTTCATATAAAATCAGACCGTGTCTCCATTCTTCCTTGTCTCTACTATTATTTTATTGTCTCTTCCTCTTAAGATGTCTGTAACAAACGATGACCTATTTCTGCTGACTGCCTCAGAGGATGGCTCTATATTTATCTGGAAAGTGGATGATAAAGAACGTGGGTTACAGAAATGGGACAAGGAAGCTGAGTATGCTGAGGAGGTGCTGATCATGAGATCAGATATAGAAGAGAAGGTAGGAGGACCAGCTTCTGCACATGAACCAGAGATTTCCTAGTGTAGAATTATGTATAGTGTAGAATTATGAATTACACTTGCATGATTACGATTATGACTAGCTGTTTCTGTATGTATGGCCTTCTGCTTAAGTGGGCTTGCATGGCTTTCGTCATAAAAGGAGGTTACAGCAAGTAGCTGAAGCTGCTTCTTAATATGCAAATTGCATTGTATCAACAGCGAGTGTGAAGAGAAGTTTAGACTTTAATACTTTCCACAATCTCTTGAAATCAGTTTTAATGGAGTAGAGAAGTCAGAAGCTGCATTTCTATAAACCATCTTGTAAGATAACAAAGGAACCTTACTTCTGGAATTTCTTCTTGGTTTGTCTGTCTGAAAATTCTCTGCAAAGGCTGTATTTCATAAAAATATGCATGTAAATAAAACATCCTCAACAAGCTGTTGCTAATGGAAAATCTCTCTGTTAAAACTGTCTTCTCATCCATGTCCTAACAGAGTCAGGCAATGCTAGACCTGCAGATTCGTGTGGAAGAGCTACAGACAGAAAATGATAACCAGCTACGTCTCAAGGACATGTACTGTAGTGAAAAAATAAAGGAATTAGAAGAGAATTTCACTCAGGAAGTAGGCTCCCTTAAAATCAAACACCAGGTATGATTCATATTGCAGAACCACATACCAAGAAATCTTTCACTGAAGAGTTGAATTCAAGTTTGCATTATATATGTATGAATGCCATAAAGCATCTGGAAAATGAAGCATTCCTTTCCAATAAGGGTGTTCTTGATATCTGTAAAGCATGAAGTTACCTTTGAGGCAAGTATCTTGTAAGTACAAGGGGATGCAGGTTTTCTCCTAGGCAGGTTTTAAGTGTCTTCACGTGAAAACCATTCCAGCAATAAACGCTGCCTAAGACCAATGATCAGTGAGCTGTATCACCCTTGAGTAGAAATGGGACCATGCCTTAAAAGCTCTGTCACATACAAGGTTGCAGCTGCTGCAGCATCCAAGATTTATTCTTCTTAATGCTGCCTTCTTTATGCTCTGGCCGCTGAACTTTTTTAAGATCATCTGCTGAGCTGCCTTGTGCTTGTGAAAACAGAAGTAAAATGTATTCCCTGGATTTCTTCTGTGAATGTGTTTATCGATTTCTCTGTGGTCATGAAGCAGCACTTCCCTGAAAGGCAAAAGCCACGATAATTCTTCCCAGTGTCTTATTTATCTGTGTCTGTTAATTCTATTCTGTCCATCTGTCTGGTGCACACACCAGATTTCTGACCTGTAACTTGCTACATTTCTGACCCCTTTTTAGAGCTAGAAGGCAAGCAATCCAAGAGCAATTTCTCTGGCAGGAAGATGGCTTGAAGTGAGAGATTACATATCACATTATTCAATTCTGTTCAACCTCATGTTCTTTTCAAGATTTTGGATTAATATTATCCTGTCCTGGTGATTTGTTACGGCTTATTTTGTTGAGTTGTACATAGTCCCTTCAAGCAGTATTTCAATTTGACTCCACATAAAGAAAGATGCCAGTATGAAAAGTTGCCAAGTTACTTACTAATTTTATTATTTTATGGTCTTGTCATTTTCAAGTGCTCCTTTTATATCTCTCTTGTCTTTTGGCCCTACAAATGTTCTGGTAGGTTTCTGATTTTGATTTTTTTTTTTTTGAGGAAGTTTAATTATTCATTTTAATGTTTTCTTCAAGTAGTTCCTCAGGCCTTTTGGCTTTTCTCATTGTGGTTTTTGCATTTAAGTAACTTGAGTTTTAACCTTTCTATTTTTACTCATTTTTGTACAGCTTGACCTTTTACAAGAAAGCCATTTCACTCCTTATGAATTCCTCTACCTGTGTTTTACTGGTGCTGGTTTTTCTCTGTGGCTCTCCAAGTCTTTTCATATGTAGTGCTTGGCTGTGGAGTTATAATAATCTCAGCTACACTGAATTGTCTTTAGGTCTGTTGATTATAGGCTTGCAAGCAAATGCCTTTGAAGGTGAATAAAAGTTTTCTAGGCAGGCAAGTTATGCTTCCTATATCAGTATGTGTTAAGATTAAACTAAACAGCAGATTTGTCCAGGCTTGGGGCTAACCTTTCTAGTAGTTGTATCCAGCAGGCAAATGTGGTATTTCTGCTTACGCAAGATCCATAAAGTTATTATGAGAAGAAGGTGAAAAAATTTTACCTTTGGTACAATTCCCAGCTTTTCTGGGAAGTTTCTCACCCACTTTCTTGTTCCAGTTCTTTGTGCTTTTTTAGAAGATGGAGTAATTCGCAGTGGTAGTCGGACATTCCAAGCAAATGGCATTCCAACCTCACTTTTGCTTATGTTTATGTCATTCTGTGCATATGTCAGTGGTTTAGGACCTCAAGGTTGCTTCAAGTGAGCCAGGAAGCAGCTTGAACTTTAATATCTGGACAACAATATGTGGAACTGCAAATTCTCCTCAAGCAGGCACACACGGAAGTGGAGGGTTTTGTAGCTTTCAATTTTTTCTTGTCAGATTAGGATCATCCAGTACCCTGTTTTATATAAACTCAATTTGCTGCTACTTTCCCGTACCTTTCTACAGATTTGTAATGTGTAACAACTAATCTCTGGAAATACTTGGCTTAGTGACCCATGGCATATGAATTTTGGTGAGAGACTTCAAACATAAATTCTGTTCTGTATGTGTTCCCCAGTATGGGCAAGAGCAGAAATAATTTGGACTGCTTTGCTTAGTTTCAAATTAAAGTGTATCTTTCTTATTTTTTCCCCAGGTTTTACAGGCAGAGAAAGAAAAACAGGAGCTACAACACCAGTTTCAACTCTCTGAGCTGATGAATAAACAGGCCAGGGAGGTGCAACAACTAGGTTAGACTATAACAAGTGTTAGTAACTGGAATCTGGAGGAAGTGCATTAGATTAATAGCAAGTAATGTGAGAGGGAGGGATTAGTAGAGTACAAGGAAAAATGCATGTATGTTGTATAGGTATTGCAGACCAAACACTTGTCTAAACTGCACCACACACATGACCATGATGAGAACATGCACATGGGCTCTGTATCTTAGATGTTTGGGTTTTGGGATTAGTAATCTCTTCGTTTATCTTATAGCTCACTGTGCAAGAATAATGAAGTCATAAAGTTCAGCAAGGAGGCTAATGTACAATGCACACAACACAGGAATACCTGGGCCCCAGATCTGTAATCAAGATAAAGCAGAAATACTGCAAATACCATACCAAAAAGCAAGTCCACCCATGAATGAGTCCGTTGCTTGCTCATACTCTGTATCAGTTTTACTTATTCAGCTCTGTCATGGTTGTTATCCAAGGGAATGCCTAAATTAGCTGTTATTAATTTGTTGTAATGGCACAATAAGAGATTTTGGTGCAGGTTTTAGACTCATTCAAGTTGGAACAGAACAACACTCTGTCCCGATGCAGCAAGCAGGGGTATAGAAGAGTATTCAGAGACAACTGAGAAAGCTGAATGACAGCTTTGGAACTGGCATTATTAATTAGTGAAGTAGTAAGTAAACAGAGGAGCAGGAAACTCAAGACATGATTTTCCGATGTAAAATTTTGTATGGCCACAGAGTCTAAAGGCCCTGATGAAGAAAGTGATGAGGTAATTCTAGAGTAATTTATTGCAACCAGCTGCCAAAAGACAGTAGAGAATAAGACATTGATGACTGTAGAAGGATAGAGTACATCTCTCTCTTCCGTTAGTTTTACGCATTCCATATGTTTCCTGTTACCAGAATCTGATAGTAATCAGAAACTCTTAATGGAAAATGAGAAATACCAGGAGCTGCAAGTGAAATCCCTGAGGATGCAGGAGGAATATGAGAAGCAATTGCACAATTTGGAGGAAAGCAAAAGCAGAGCTGTGAAGGAGCTAACAGAATATTATGAGGAAAAACTTAATGAGAAATCTGTTCTGCTGGAAGAGGTAGGAAACTTGATTTGCAGTTTGAATTATTGACTAAGTTTATCTCCAACTGTGATAAAATGTTCCCCAGGAGAGGAGAGGTTGGCTTCCTCCATGCAAATCCTAATCTGCCTGTAACCTTGAGGAAATATGTTGCCAGGTAGACTAGTAATAAGGAAAACCCAGCTGGGTTACCAGCTTTTCTGGGCTTCATACCTTGAGTAAGTAACCTGCTGAGATTAATATCCTTGGGCATTCTCAGCTTCACCTTTCTTTCTCATAGATCCAAGAATTCCTGTTTATTAGGATGGGTTAGATGATACATTTACTGTAATTGAAGAAATAAAGATTCAATTACTTGTTCTAGTGAACAGATAATGCTTCTAAAATGGTGAATTCCATTCCTGAGTCACTGAGGTTCCTGCCTGCATAATGCGGGGGGAGGGAGGGGGAAGATAAATACCCTGAGTACTTCAAAAACTCCTGCACATTGAGGTCAAAGACTTGGCTTGACAAAGGGCAGCCAGATAACTGATGCTTATACATCTAAAGTCAATAAATTATATCAACATTACTGTTTGCAGCCCTATGTTGCAATACCAATTTGGAAAGAATGTGGGGAATGAATGTGAGAAGAGAGGCATACAGGGGCTGATGCAAACCTGGGTGCTTATTGGTCCCAATGCATCAGAAAAAGCAATTTTAAAAGATCTTCTCAAGTGTTTCTCATGTTTGTGTTTGCTGCTGCCAGAAGAAGTTGACTGATGTTAGTATTTGGGCCAGGTTCCTGACTTGAAGCATCCAAGCCTTAAGTTTTCTTAAATTATATTGCCGCAATTGAAGAGTCCACTAAATATAGATCCTCCCAGGAGCAGCACAGTTACAAATAAAGAATTGTCCTCTTTACTGGTCTTATACTGTGTCTTCTGTAATGTTTACTTCCCTTAACTGCAGGCAGAGGAAGGTATAAGGCAGCAGCTTCAAGCACATGAAGAAATTAAGAAACAAATTGAAGAAGATGAAGACCAAGAAATCCTGGAAATCAAAATCAAGTATGAGAAACGGCTCTTGGAAGAAAAGGAATCAAACCTGCACCTGAAAGGAGAAATAGGAGTCATGAATAAAAGGGTATTTCTTATTCTGTGATAAGATCAGCCCTGCATGTGGAGAACTATAGCTGAGGATTGAATGGGATTAGTGGCATGTCAGTTTAGTCTGTTAATATGTGGCATTTCATATGAGAACAGTAGCCCCTTCTTATATCAGTTTGAATGTTTTCGAATATTTGGGCAGAAGAAGAAGCTGTTAGTATTGCTGATGTGACTGGAGATAGATGATAGAGAAGGTTTGTTTTCATTAGTACACTTTCTTTTATCTTACATATTTTGAAGTTATAAATAATAATATTGTTCATCCTATGATGGGAAAAAAAGGAACATTTTCATTTTTCCAAGATGTAATGTGTTGCTTTGTCAGAATAATACTTCTACTGCTTCATTTGTTGCATTAAACACTATGTGTTCTGTATGCATCATCATTTTTTATCGGTTTTACTCCTAGGATTTTTAAGGAGGCATAAAACCTTTTAACTCTTTTACTGGCTGGGCATTACATTTTCCTAGGGATGTTAGAGGGACATTTTTTCTTTTCAGTTTCTTCAGTATCTGTCTGGAGACAGAGAGCTTCTCTTCCTTGATAGTCTCTATTATCATGGTACTGTCTTCAGTTCTGTTGTCTTTTAGACGCCAGGAGTTTCTTCATGGGTCCTCACAGTTTGACTAGCACCATTCCTTGGTTCTGACCTTCTTGGCTTCACAGATCTTAGTACTGAGGGGCCAATGTTGAGGGTACCCAAGAGCTATGAACTAGGCACCCTTCCAGTCTACTTTTGACACCTTTAGAGATGTATGACAGGTGATCACCTTAAAATAATTTTCCATGGCTTAAGTGGTTTTTGGAGCTGATGCTTGGGTATAATACACATACCCTTCTTGTTTCTGGATGCAAATTCCTTGATTCCTTGTAGTACAGCGAGCACTGTCAGAATATGCAGAAAATGCAAAAATGGATATTAAACACCCTTTTGAGTTACACAGGTATTTAAGTGATGTGATGCTCCTTCATCATATCTTAATTTGATATCCTTTATCCCACGCTGTCTGCAAGGTATCTTACAGAGTAGGATGTCCAAGTTGTGCACAGCTTTTAGAGACTCTAGTTTTTACTTGTTTGCCTCTGTAGTTGAACAGCCTACAGAAGGAGCTCAAGGAGCGAAACAGGGACAGTGGGGAAATGAGACAGGAGCAGCAAAAGCTGCAAGGCACCATTAAGTCATTGGAGAAGGACATAATGGAACTGAAGACAGAGAATCAAGAGAGAGCCGACACTATCCAGGAAAAGGTGAGAAACTGGATGATTGGCTGAGATCAAATTCACCCTCCATTAATTTAATACAGATATTTATTTTAATAGTATTGTGTTGTTATAATATCACATGACTGGAAGCTCAGTTTTAACTTAAAGTATTTCTGATCTTTAGTTTGGAATTTTAGGGTTTTTTCCTGACATTCTATGCTTTTCTTGGGGAGGTCAAGTTCAGGATGTTGAGTTTCTTATCCCCTGTTTTGGCACCTGCAGATGGCTGTCTGCATGACTTACCCCCTCCCCTCCCACCCAGTCTGTGTAGGTGTGCAACTGAAATCTAGTCATCCACTAGATCTGTGACTGCTGTTTTTAGCTCCAGCATATTTGTGCCTTGTCACTGTGTGAGAGTGCTCTGTCTGATTCAGATCTCTGTACCCACTGCTCCCAGGAGAAGCAAATATATGACCTTAAAAAGAAAAATCAGGACCTGGAAATGTTCAAGTTTGTACTGGATTACAGAATAGAGGAATTTGAGAAGCAAAGAGAGTCACGTGAAAATGATATCAAAACAATGGAGGAGCAGATCCAGGGGGTGAGTAACACTCTCATTTGCCCTCTGCTACTAAGCCCCTTGTCTGAATACAAAGATGACCCAGCAAGTCCCACGGAAGACTACACCCTGTTTGTTCCTTGACTTCTTTCAAGGATACACAGCGCTGATTCAATATCTTTACAGCTCATAAAGATACTTGCACACAATAGCTGCTATTTAATTTTCTATCACATGCTACTAGTGATCTACACAGTTATTTAAGCTCTTATTTCAGTGCTTAATTCTAGACTCTGTGTAATATCAGTTTTACTTAAGAATAGATCTTGTCCTTACGTGGTTGCCCTCCACATACCCTGTAGTTTGCAAAACACTGCCTTTACTGATCTGGAGGAAGAGGGTGTGAACTTCGCTCAGTAAAGTTGCCGATTTATGCTAACATAACTCTGTTTAGGGGTTAGGACAAATTACTGTTCATCAGATGATTCATGGAAAGTTTCCATGTATTCATACTTAGCTTGCAGCAAATTCACTGAGGTAACTTGTTTTATGATAGAAATTGACTGTGATCTCACCATAGATGTACCTTTAGCTCAGCCAAGTTAAGGCTATGGTTGACATACCTCATCCATGACCTGTAAGTTTTCATGTCTGTTTATTCAGAATGAAAGCCTTGTAAACTAATGAACAAATTGTACGTACATCAGCCTGGCACGACCCAAGCCCTGTTCTCTCTTCTGGCCACTGTCCTGTGCCAGTAAATAGTGTAGTATCCTTACTGGGGTTTTTCCGTGTTCTACATATGTAGCCAGAGCTTTTAAATGCATTTGTTTCTTTTCACTATCAGGTTCTTCTTATTGTTGGACTTACTCTTTCCAGTATTGACTGTTAATTTCCATCTCACCCATTTTTATTCAGAGGGAACAGTAAATCTCCAGTTCAACTCAAGGAAATGAAAGGCCATCGCATCTCTTAAATACTTGTAACTCAAAAGGGAGTTAGAATACCCATTTTTGTTTTCTGTAAATTCTGACAGAGGGCACTGTTGTTCCAAAATTGACTTTTTTCGTGTTGTAATTCAACCTGAAGGGGGATCTGCTCCCTCAAGTCAGTATTTCCACGCTCTGGTTTTCCTGTTATGTGTTGTTTTTTCATGTCTGCTTTTAGTTCTGATTTCCTCCTCCTGCTTCCTTTCAGATGAAGGGGGAGCTGGAACGATTCCACAAGGAGAGCACACAGTTGAAGCTGACTATCACACAACTGCAACAGAAACTAAAGGCAACTGATCGCGAGATGCACAGAGAGAGGCAGAAGGTATGGGGTACAACCACTGTGCAGGTCCTACCTAATGAAGTTTGTGGGGACAGAACACTGCAAAAGCATTAATCTGAGCAAAGATGTACTTCAGGGATACTGTGTCCAAGGACTAGGAGAGGCTCTGGTCAGTGAGGACAAAGAAGAAAACTTCCAAGCCTGCATCCAGGTTAGAGGGTTGATATCAGAAAAATCCAGGTATTTTTGTGTCTGTTTAATCAACACATACTCCCGTGGGTTTAGCAGAGCAATGAGAGAGATGCCTAACTGACTACTCTTCCCTGCCCAAGCTTGGAATCTGGGGACACTTGGCCTAAGCGGGAGTGTCACATAGGCCACCACCTACAATGGCATTAGTAGGATGAGATGAAGGGTGGGCTTATTAATGGAGGAGACAAGGAGCCCCTGTAATTTGACAAGCACATCAGACATGAGGGAGGAAAAGGGACTGCAAGTGAAGAAGGAGCTTAGCAGGCAGTGCAGGACTGAGGAAGCAGGTAGAGGTGCCTGGTAGAAACGGCAATCTTGATGTGAAATCGTCATCGTGAATATGTCTGATATGTGTTTCATCCCTTGTTTTCTCCCATTAACTGTTTGCGTGTTGTTTATAAAGAAGAATGTGGTTGTTTGGGAAAGGACAGCGGAGGTTAGCATTCATGACAACAGGCCACTGGTTCTCAGATGAGACCTCTGGATGCTGGCACTTAACATTCCATAATGCAAGTATCTGAGATTAATATTACTGCTAAAACTTATCACTGCTCTTTGGCATGCAGTGCTCACATCCCCAGCAGGTTTTTTAACCATATATTTTTAAAAAATTAAGTGGAAGTAAGTATATGAGAGCTTTCAGCAGTCTTATTAGACTTTCTAGAAAATTGCACATGATGGAGTGCTCTGATGAGCCAAATAATGTACCTACATCATTCTTGCAGAAGCAAAATATGGAAGCTCTCATCAAACGATTTAAAACAGATCTTCATAACTGTGTGGGCTTCATTCAGGATTCAAAAAAAATGAAGAATGGGATCCGTGAGCTCTACACCAAGTATGTGCAGCAATCAGGCACGGTGAGTCAGGGCCTTTGCCTTCTTGCAGGTGAATTTCTCTAGTAGTGTAATTACTGAGGCAACATGCTGTGCCCCCTCAGGTGGAGACTGAAGCGGGAGACACAGATTTGCAGCAGGAGTACATGAGACAGCAAGAGCGTCTTGAGAGGAATTTGGCAGCTTTAAAAAAGAAGGTGGTGAAGGATCAGGAAATCCACCAAGCTGCTTACATGCGCATCGTGCAGGTAATAAGCCTTTTCCATGTGGTATAGCGAGGGAAAAAGGAAGCAGCTGCACAAAAGTGACTTGAGTAGCCTTACTGCTATGGTTTCTTAGGACTTTGAAACAGTTTTGGTTTGCTTCCTTGCTAGAAATTCCTAAGTTTTCAAGTGCTTCCATTCAAGGATAGTATTCATTGAGCTACTGAGTAATTTTCTGGACAAAAAGTACAAGATCTCTGAGGTCAGAAATTGCTGCTGTTTTGTGGATACTTACACCTATCTCCCACTTGCTAGTGTAAAAGGAGATAGGGAATCTCTTCTGCCTGAATATTTTTTTAAGCAATTAATGTACTTAGTTCTATTTCAAACAGTTAGTCAATTTGCACCCGAGTGCCAAGCTGTGTTTGCAGTGTGGTGGTGTTCAGGAAGTAATTTTTGAGGAAGAAAAGAAAAAGAAAAACTCTTTCTTTGGCCACATAGTCCCACACCTACTGGCCTGAATTCAGAAGAACTTTCTGCTTTTCGCACTGAGGTTTTTTGAGGAAGTTCAGAAACACATGATGAATGTGCCTATTCGTACCAAGATCTCTTGCTCAGAATCCTTGTTCCTTACAAGGCAAGGTAAACTTGTGACTGCTGGGGCCAAAGACACGATTTGTTTTCATCTGGAGTAAGAGGATCTGAAGCCCCACACCAAACATCCTGGGAGGACAGCTCTTTTACAGTCTCTTCTTACCGTGACCACCTCCTGCACAGTCAGCATTTCCTTTTCCCCTCACTAGCCCTTTTTTCATTGTTATTTTATTATCAGGATTGTTAGACCTCAATCCCCTCCTAAGTCATCTGTTCTTCGCTGTTTCTTCATAGTGCTTCTTCAGGCTCAGGCAGCACCAATCTTCTTCCCTGGCCCTGTTTTAATTTTTTTTACTCCTTCTGTCTGTTAGATGTGTCCTTTTGGCACAAAAGGAGATGGCTTCAGAAAATAACCTGAAGAATTTCCTTGCTGGAATGGGGTGACAGATGGTGCTCATAATGGTAATACTTGATGTCTTGGATCAGTAAGCCTAACATGAAATGATGATTAAAACAGAATTAATAAAACATCTGGAAGATTAAGATATCAAAGGTTCTAACTAGCCTGGTTTCTTCAAAGAAAAAGCAGTTCTCTGAAGTCTAGTAGATTAATGAGACTTTGCAGCCAGGAGGAATTATCATGGTCTTCCAGTCCTGCATAGTGGGATTTTAAGACTAGTTTAGACAAATTTCTGTCAGGGCTTGCTTTGAAAAAGTAAATGACATCTTGGTGGCCTTCTGGCTCTGTATTTCTATTATTCGTCAATTGTGCTTACACTTTCAGAGCTGTGCATTCCTCTCTCAGTGACTATTCATAGGTACATTCCACTACTGACTGCTGCAACAGATGATTAGAACTGTCAAGATGATTTTAATTTTCTTACCAATTGGCAAGTTGCTTGTTGTTGGACTCTTAGTTTTCCCTTCAGCCTTCTGTATTTGTAATGCCTTCTTTGGTCACTTGGATGCCTAAGAGCAGGCACACTGCATAATCTTAAAGTAACACTGCTTGAACTGAAGCATGTAAAGGATGATGTTTCCTGCAGTATGTCCTACCTGTCTTTGACAGTCAGGACTGTAGGGACTTCCCAGGCTGCAGACTGCATCCACACATCATATGCAGTTGTCCCGGTTGGCCTCATCCTCCATCAATTTGATCAATCCCTTTTCTGAAACAGTTGGTACTTTGCCACAAGGTCCTGAGACAATGACTTCTACCATGCAGGTTTATTTAATCCATTGCATGATCATTGCATTGCAGTGCAAGCTTCCTGTCAGAATGCAAAGACTGAATTAAGGGCTAATCTCTCTGGATAACATGCCTCTTCAGAAAAACATCAGTGTCAGCTAGCAGCCTTTTGGCACCCAGCAAACCAAACAAGACATTTTTACATAGCCCAGATTGCCTCATACAAGATATTATGGATTATACTAATAGACTAAAAGCAAGATCTTAATTTGATAGCAGCATTCAACCACTTGGAGTGAATTTAGGAAGATATTCATGACTAAAGTATGCCTGTGACCTAACCCTAAAAGCTGGTCAAAAGAAAATTTCCTTGATTAGTTCTTGGAAGTTATCCTCGTCATGTGTTCCTTTCAGGATGAAACTCTGGGATAAATTTAATCTGTGCTTGATGACTTGAATTAAACCAGTTGGAATCAACAAGGTATTATGGTTTTAGAGCAGGCTGCCTAAGCTCACCAACTCGTGCTGCGTTTAGAGTCCAGCACAACCTCTGCAGGAACAGCTGTTCTTGCCCAACGAGTTCAGACCTAACACATCCCACAATCTTCTTCCAGTCAGTGACTTTCAGCTGAGGGGAAACTAAAGCATGGTTGGTGTACTTGTCTTAATGTGAAGCATTGAAAATCTTGCCATGTACATGCACCTTGAGTTACTGCTGCCAACGGTGCATCCGTAGGCAGGTAACAGCGGTAAGCATTGTACTTTGTTACCGACAAGTTTTCAGTTGTGTGGTGCCATACTTTATAAGTATACCATAAGGAACAGAATCAAATGCCTTACATAAATCTCTTATGTAAACATAATTATCTGTCAACCAAAATTATCTTAAAAAAAACCCAAAAAACCAAGATTTGAAGACACCTTTTCATAGGGAAATGTCATCAATCCTTGTTCTTATCTCCTGTTGTTTTAGTGGGTTCCCTATTGCTTAAGACTTGTATTATATGAGGTACCCAAAGCATGTCTTTTGGTCATTTATCTTTCTAAAATATTGCCACTTGTGATGAAGTTCCAGGGGTTGGAATGGTGCTGTGTTCCAAAACTTTTAAAAAACCACCACAGGTAGCTGAAATCATTGGTATTCTTGGTTCAGGTGTGATGGCAGCTGTTTAACATGTGCACTAGCTGTTGATGTGATAAGGTATTTCACTGTCCTTGTAAGAGGACAATATACAATTCCACTTCTCAAAGTGGAATTCTCAAAGTGGAATTCAGAAAAGAAATATTTAGCTAATGGTGCTCCTGTTTCTGTATCATGAGCAACACTTTTATCATCCTTCACTAATAATAGCCCATACTGTTTTTGTTGAAGTCTCTGAATCTGCCAAAACAAGGGGTAAAATACATTCACTTGTACTTTCACAATTCCTTCAGCAAGACACTTTGTGGTAGCCTATTGAAAAAACTACAGGATTGAACTTCTATGGTGTGAAAACTGACTGAAAAAAAAGAACAAATACGTAGCCTAAACTTTTCCTTACAGCAGCACGTTTCTATCTCAAGTCTCCATACAATTTATATATGTTTCTTAATAATTTGGAAGGAATGTTGGAAAGTGATGTCAGTCAGAACTAATGAAGAGGACTTTGAACAACTGCTAGGAGATAATTTAAGTGAACAGACACATGGTGGCAAATGAAAAGCAAAGTAATACACACTGCAAGGAGAAATGGGAATTCTTCACATTAATTCTGAATTAATTGGCTCAATCTAGGAAGGGGCCTGAGCTTCCCTGTGGAACTGGCGAGGAAGATGATACCTCGGAGTGCAGCTTCAGCCAGAAAAGCAAAACAAATATTAGCTTATTGAGCTAATGTGGTTTCAGTGCTGTCATATTTTGTGTCAAACCTCCTGTGGCCTTATCTGAAATGCTGTGTACTGTACAGATTGCCCTGTATCTTCTGCTTGTAATACTGATCCCGCACTGTCCTGTGTCCTTCCCAAGGATATGAAGATACGTATTGCTGAGCCACATAGTACCTGTGCTTTTCCTGATAGCACACATATTTTTTTTGCAGGAAAATGTGAGTCTGATTAAGGAAATTAATGACTTGCGGCAAGAACTGAAGGCAGCCCACACCCAGGTACATGACCTCCAGTCAACACTAAAATTAACCAAGAAAAAGCAAGCAATTCAAGACACAGGTGTGTTTTCCATATTGTCCGTAGTCATTCTAGAAGCCTTTTTTGTCCTTGGTGAATTATTCTGTTACTGTCTCCATATTGTTCCAGCTTGTCTGCCGGGTGGTGCCTGCTGTATTGTAATGTTAGCTGTAGAAGTTGCTAAATACTGCAGAATCTTACTATTTAGCTCTACTCCTTCAGCCCTGGAAAGATGCCTTTCCTTATTCATGCCAAAGAACTCTGCAAGCTGGACCTTTGTTACTCTGCTCTATTCTCTCTGATTTTATGTTCTAGCTCCCTCCAGTGAACTGCTGTCCAGCCCAGCTGTCCTGAGGTTGAATGCAGAGAAGGAAAGTGAGAAAATCATAGAAATGCAGCGGCTAGAAATTCAATACCTGCGAGACCAAATCCAGGAGAAGAGGCAAGTCCTTGCAGTTCAGCCTCTCTTAGACAGAGATCTTCCTAAGCTGCATCTGTAAAGAAGCCACGAGACAGCAACAGTGACCTGGTTCAAGGATAACTTACATTACTATGTTCTCTTGACAAGATCAGAAATGCAACAGCATAGATTAGACTTCCATGATACTTAACTCTTCCACTGGGAGCATTTGCGTAGCACTCACTGCTCTGAACGCAAGGCACCAACCTTCACTCCTTTCTACTTTTCTGGAATATGCCCTTTCCATGAGGCCTAGGAACCCAGAGGAAAAAAAATAAATTTGTGTTAGTGCAAGACTGATTTTCGTGCCTTCATGCTCGGGCAGATATGCTCTGTTCT